CTGGGGAATTGTACCAAACATTCAAAGAAGAACTAACACCTATACTCCTCAAACTATTCCAAAAAATCCAAGAGGAAGGAACACTTCCAAGCTCTTTCTGCGAAGCCAGCATTATCCTGATTCCAAAACCAGATGAAGACACTACAAAGAAAGAAAATCACAGGCCAATATCCCTGATGAACATAGATGCTAAAATCCTCAACAAAATATTAGCAAGTTGCATCCAGCAATATATTAAAACGGTCATGCACCATGATCAAGTGGGACTTATTCCAGGGATGCAAGGCTGGTACAATATTTGCAAATCAATAAATGTGATACATCACATAAACAAACTGAAAGACAAAAATCACATGATTATATCAATATATGCAGAAAAAGCATTCGACAAAATCCAACACCCATCCTATATAATAAAAGCCTAATATGCAAATTGACCAACTGGTGGAACGACTGGTTGGTATGATGCACACTGACCACCAGGAGGCAGATGCTCAATGCAGGAGCTGCCTCCAGCCCAGAGGCCTCAGGCCGGCTGGTGAGTATGCCGGCGCCACCCCCCTATCGCCGGCCAGGCCTAGGGACCCTACCCATGCATGAATTTCGTGCACCGGGCCTATAGTTTTTGATAAAAACTCTCAACAAAATGGGAATAGAGGGAGCCTATCTCAACATGATAACGGCCATATATGACAAACCTACAGCGAACATCATACTCAATGGGCAAAAACTAAAACCCTTTCCCCTAAGAACAGGAACAAGGCAGGGATGTCCTCTTTCACCACTCTTATTCAGCATAGTACTGGAAGTCCTAGCCACCGTGATCAGACAAGAAGTAGAAATAAAAGGCATCCAAATTGGAAAAGAAGAAGTTAAACTGTCATTATTCGTAGATAACATGATATTGTACATAGAAAACCCCAAAGACTTCAACAAAAAACTACTAGACTTAATAAATGAATTCGGCAATGTAGCAGGATACAAAATCAACACCCAGAAATCTATGGCTTTTTTATACAACAATAATGAACTTATAGAAAGAGAAACTAAAAAAACAAACAAACAAAAAAAAACAATCCCATTTACCATTGCAATAAAAAAAAAAATGAAGATACCTAGGAATAAACTTAACCAAAGAGGTAAAAAACTTGTACTCAGAAAACTACAGGACGTTGAAAAAAGCAAGAGAGGAAGATATAAACAAATGGAAGAATATACCATGTTCATGGATTGGTAGAATCAACATCATTAAAATGTCCATACTACCCAAGGCAATCTACAGATTGGATGCAATCCCTGTTAAAATACCAACAGCATATTTCACAAAGCTAGGATAAGCAAATACTCCAAAAAATTACATGGAGTCAAAAAAGACACCGAATAGCTGCAGCAATTTTGATAAGGAATAACAAAGTTGGAGGAATCACAATACCAGATATCAAGTTATACTATAAAGCCGCCGTAATCAAAACTGCCTGGTACTGGCACAGAATAGGCATATTGATCAATGGAACAGAACAGAGACCACAAACATCAATCCAAGCCGTTACACTCAATTAATATATGACAAAGGAGGCAAGAGCATACAGTGGAGTCAAGACAGTCTCCTCAATACATGGTGCTGGGAAAATTGGACAGATACATGCAAAAAAATGAAACTAGACCACCAACTTACCCCATACACAGGAATAAACTCAAAATGGATAAAAGACTTAAGTGTAAGTCATGAAACCATAAAAATCCTAGAATAAACCAGAGGCAGCAAAATCTCAGACATCTCTCGTAGCAATATGTTCACAGATACCTCTCCCAGGGCAAAGGAAACTAAGGAGAAAACAAATGGGACTACATCAAAATAAAAAGCATCTGCAGAGCAAAAGAAACCATCAGCAAAATGAAAAGGGAGCCCACTGCATGGGGGAACAAATTTGGCAACTATACATCTGATAAAGGGTTAATATCCAAAATACATAAGGAATTCATACAACTTAACAAAAGGAAGACAAACAATCCAAGTAAAAGTGGCCAAGAGACATATGAAAAAATGCTCAGAGTCACTAATCATCCAAGAGATACAAATCAAAACAACAATGAGGTACCACATCACACCTGTCAGAATGGCTGCCATCAACAAATCAACAAATGACAAGTGCTGGCGAGGATGTGGAGAAAAAGGAACACTTGTGCACTGCTGGTGGGAATGCAGACTGGTGCAGCCACTATGGAAAACAGTATGGCGTTTCCTCAAAAAATTAAATATGGAACTGCCAGTTGACCCAGTGATCCCACTTCTAGGAATATATCCTAAGAAACCTGAAGTTCCAATCAGAAAGGATATATGCACCCCTATGGTCATAGCAGCACAGTTTACAATAGCTAAGATCTGGAAACAGCCCAGGTGCCCATCAGTAGACGAGTGGATAAAGAAGCTGTGGTACACTTATACCAGGGAATACTATGCAGCAGTAAAAGAGAAGGATCTCTTACCCTTTGGGACAGCATGGAGGGGCCTGGAGAGTTTCATGCTAAGTGAAATAAGTCAGAGAAAGACAAGTATGACATGATCGCACTCATATGGGGAACCTAAGTAACAAAATAAACTGATGAACGGAATGGACCCAGAGGCATGGAAGCAGGGAACAGGGGCGGAATCTCAGAGGGAAGGAGCGGGAGGGTGGGTGTGTGGGAGGTAATCAACCAAAGACCTTGAATGCATACATGCATGGCCCATGGACACAGACAGTAGGGTGCTGAAGGCCTGGGGTGGGGAGGGAGAGGACGGTGGCGGGCTGGAGGGGGTCAATGGGGGCAAAAGGGGGCGTATGTAATTCTTTCAACAATAAAGAATTACTTTAAAAAAAACACAACAGATTCACGATTAACTCACTGCTCTTGGACCAGGAATCAGCCTCTGAATTGCGTTGTCCGCGTCTGCCTGGGCGCCCCTCACTCAGGACCACACCTGCCAGGAGGGAGGCCCGGAGGCAGAGCTGTTGCTGCGTCCTGTCGACTTCTGGGCTGGACGGAGGGGTGGCCGGGGGCTTTGTCAACATGAGTCAGTCGGTGGTTTAAAGAAACTCGTCTGTGTGTCCCGAGGGCAAGTGGTACAAGGTCAGTCTCCAAAGTCACCAGCCTCCACGCTCCCTGAGCTCCGGCTTCTCCACGGCCGCTGGGAGCCGCCCTGCAGTCTGCGCGCCCCTCCTGCTCTGAAGACGCCCTAGCGGCCGCAGCAGCCTGGCCCACAGCTGGGAGCCCGCAGCTGCTCTGGGTCGCTAAGAGAAAGTGGGTTTTGGACAGAAGACTTGATCCATGGCCACATGCTTTCTGGGCTTATGTAAAGCCAACCTGGATTTGTACAGAAATGATGCTTTCAGAGAACATCCAGTCAATGCCAGACCACGGCCAGACCTGGCGCTGGAAAAGGCTGCCTGTCCCACTCGCATTGGCTCTGCATCGTGCTGGCTGCCTGGCACCAGGCCTAGCCCGCGAGGTGAGCACTGCGGTGCAGCCAGGGGATGGAGGCGCTTCTGGAGGCCTCTCTCTGTCGGGGCCCGAGGCTTACTCACTGCTCAGGCCCGGGCGGCAGGCGGCCAGTGGCCCGGGGACACCGCCCCGTCCGCGGCAGGTGGGCCCTCCTGGCCACCTTCAGGTATCTTCCCCCCAAAAGGCTCTGACACAGACTCCTGCGCCATTTCTGAGACTGGCGTGCTCTGGCCTCGATGCCAAGAGGCCCCCGGAGCCACCTGGCTTGGAAGCAGCCGGGCAGCCTCGGGTCACACCCAGAGCGCGGCCTGGAGTGCTGCTCCGCGTGGATCCCGGTGCAGAGCGTCCTGCACACAACGCCAGAGAGCAGAGCAGAATCCAGGGTGTGAGAAGCACAGGGTTCATGGTCACCCCACGGGGGGGGGGGGGCTCCCGGCGCCTCCCAGCCTGGGCGCTGCTTCAGCTGTCACTCTCCAGCTGTCACTCATCAGCTGTCACTCATCAGCTGTCACTCTTCGGCTGTCACTCATCAGCTGTCACTCTTCGGCTGTCACTCTTCAGCTGTCACTCATCAGCTGTCACTCTTTGGCTGTCACTCATCGGCAGTCACTCATTGGCTGGTGAGGGGACTGTGGTGTTGCCACGGGGGTTGAAGGTGGGGTCACCGGGTGGTCACAGCTGACCCGAAGCTAGATCGCCCCAAGTGCAAGTAGTCTGAGACTCAGGTGTAGAGTGACAGCCACAATTGAGGTAAAGGAACGGCAGTCCAAGGTGGTGCGTGTTGGGGGCGGGGTCAGAGAAGCGTGTGCTGAGCCCCTGCCTGAGCCCGGACTCCCCTCTGTCTCTGAGAGGCAGAGAGCAGACCCCCCTGTTACAGTGCGGGATCCGCCTTCCCCGCACCTGCGTGCATCCCCCCGGCTTGGCACCGGCTCCTCTGAGTCCCTCCTCTCCTGGCCATCCCTGGTCCCACCTCTTCAGGTTCCAGGAAGAGATTAAATAGCAAAACAAAGGAGAAGGCGGTACCAGGGACGCTGGGCGCAGGCTCCCCAAAGCTGAGCGCTGCCTGTGTGCCCCCAGGCCTTGGGGTCTGGGGCTCCGGCTTCCGCTGCTTCTCAGCTCCCTGGCACCGCAGCCTGGCGTGCAGGGCTCCGGGCCCCACGTCTCCAGCAGAGAGCGTGGTCAGCAAAGGGTTCCCGAGAGTGTGGACCAACCCTTCTGCTACCTTGGAGGAGGCGTTGGTGTTGGCCGAGTCGGAGTGGGGTGTTTGCTCTGTCCCTTCCGCTGGCCGACGGTGCCGGGACTGAGGTGGCCTGTGTGCTGTCTGGAGTGTCCCAGGAAGGGACGGCCGCGCTTCCCTGTGGGAGTGTGCACGTCTGAGCACCTTAGGTTTCGTCTCTCTCCTTGGCTGGCCCAGCTGCTGGCCACCTGTCCCTTGGACGTACTGCTCCTACCCCGACCCCCTGTGTCCTCGCTGAGGGTCGCTGCATCCTTTGCCCACGTCTCCTCTCTCCCCGCAGAGCCAAGCCATGCGGATCGTCCGGACAGTGGGGCAGGCCTTCGAGGTGTGCCACAAGCTGAGCCTGCAGCACACGCAGCAGAGCGCGGACGGCCAGGAGGACGGGGACAGCGAGTGGCACAGCCACAGCTCCGGGGACCCAGGTAGGCCGTCGCCACCGGGATTGGCAGGCAGGCAGACGCAGGCAGCGTCTCGGACCTAAAATGCTTACTTTCCCTACTTCTCTCTAGATTCCAAATTTTCCTTAAGGAGCATGTACTCTTGTAGCAGACAGTTGATGTGTTTAAACTGTCAAACAAGGAAGCCTTTAAGCACGACATCAGGAACCACATTTTATTTTATTTTTTTAAAATATATTTTATTGATTTTTTCACAGAGAGGAAGGGAGAGGGGTAGAGAGTTAGAAACATCGATGAGAGGGAAACATTGATCAGCTGCCTCCTGCACACCCCCTACTGGGTATATGCCCGCAACCAAGGTACATGCCCTTGGCCGGAATCGAACCTGGGACCTTTGAGTCCACAGGCCGATGCTCTATCCACTGAGCCAAACAGGTCAGGCAGGAACCACATTTTAAAGGCAGGGCTGCTGCTGCCAAATCTGACTCCCAAGACCATTCTGTTCCCATCGGAGGGTAGAGCTGACCGCCGCCACGGGGCTTCTGCTCCTCTTTCTGAATTCCATCGTCCTGGGAACCCTCAGCGCAGACATTTTCCTGATAGCTTCCATTTTTTATCTGGAAGATAAACTGAAACAATTAGAAATAATAACTCCTCTTTGGTGGTAATTTCCTCAAATCACAGGACTATACATGAGACTCAGCTAATGGCATTTTCTGAATTCCACTGCCCCTGTGGAGAATGTCACTGACTTTCTACGTGTAGACATTTCCTGTCCATTTTAGGAAAACCTGTCAGGCCCAGTGCGGTTCCTTCAAAGTTTAGGGTGAGAAGCAAAGCGCTGAGTGGGGCTCTCCCAGGAGGCCAGGCCGGGGTCAGGCGGGTCGGCGGTGCTCCCTGCATGTCACATGGGCTTCTGCGACGACAGGAAGTGGCAGGGCCCTCCTGTCCCTGTGCAGATGTAGGTGTGGCCTGTGGGGCGATGTGAGTTGTATCATCAGGCGACACACACAAGTTCACGTCAAGGGGGGCAGGTGCTGCGGTGTGGAGAGCCCGCGTGTGCAGGCGGGCTGGAGACTGGGCGGAGCTGCAGTTCGAGGCCAAAGGTGGTCTCCCTCCTCCTCTCGGGAGGTGGGCTTTGTTCCCCTGAGACCTCCACCTGATCGGGTGAGACCCACCCACCCCAAATGGGGTAACCGGCGTGACTGTCAGTCTGCTGACTTACACGTTAACCTCTCCTGAGAAACACCTTCTCGGCAACATCGGATAATGCTGGTTCAAACACCACGTTGGCACGCGTCACTAACCGTCACACGAGTGACACGCCGATGGTGTGGGGGGGTGCGGGGCTGGCAACCCACGGGGGCAGCTGAGCCTGGGCTCTGGCACTTCTCAGTGGGCGATCACGTCAACTTCCCTAGTCTCTCTGGATCTTTCTTTCCTCGTCTGCCAGGGGTTGTGAGACGATGTGTGTAAGTCAGCATCGTGCCAGCGAATAGCAGTGCAAACACGCACCAGCTGTTGGCGGCTTCCCCGTTCTGAGTGTGACCTACGGGACCAGCTCTGCAGGAGGGTGCCCCTGGCCGGGGGCCGGCTGCGCAGTGCTTAACGGGGCGCCTCCAGGCAGGGCCCCAGCCAGGAGCGGGCCTGCTTCGAGTGTAGTGTTGGGGATACTGCCGGTCTGGGCGGCACGTTTCCTTGGCGAGGAAGGCTGCCTCCTGCCTCCTGGTCACACGTTTTGCGGCCGCACTTGCATCTTCGTGCCCACAGCCGTCTGGGAACACTCTCCTCTCTGTAAGCGCCTTCCCGGCGCATTGCCGACTGCGCCGGGTCCTCCGTGCTGTGGGCACCCGACACGCCAGCTGGCCTGTTGGCGGAATGAGCGGGCTCATTTTTGTAAAGAATCTCCCCCCACGTCAGGAGCTTTCCAGTCGGGGGTCCCTTCCTGCAGAGGAGGAGCCGCGGTGGGAGCGGGCAGTGCGTCCCGCTGTCCGGGCCTGTCGGCGGTCCCTCTGGGCCTCCGCAGGGCTTGGGGATGTGTCCTCGGTCACTGTGTGTCCTCTCCTCCCCATCCTGCCCCCCCGTCCCGACCCGGGGCCAAATGCCTTTTGTCTGTCTTGGCAGCAGCTGCCCGGGCCAGTCCCGGGGCTGGGGGCCAGGGGCCGCTCTGCCCCGCGGGTTTCCTTGACTCCCAAGAGGGTTTCCTGGGAGAGGCCCCATTCCCGAGGAGGCAGCCCGCCTCCCAGCAGCAGCCAGCCCCCCTGGGGAAGAAGAGAGCTTCCGGGAGATACCCTCCCCATCTCAATGGCTATTTATTGTACCTGTTACCTCTGCTGGACCTGGGCATCCTGCTCACCTGTGCCCCCTGTCACCTGTGCCCCCCAGACCTGTTCCTCTCCCCTCACACCTGTTCCTCTCCCCTCACACCTGTTCCTCTCCCCACACACCTGTTCCTCTCCCCTCACACCTGTTCCTCTCCCCTCACACCTGTTCCTCTCCCCTCACACCTGTTCCTCTCCCCTCACACCTGTTCCTCTCCCCTCACACCTGTTCCTCTCCCCTCACACCTGTTCCTCTCCCCTCACACCTGTTCCTCTCCCCTCACACCTGTTCCTCTCCCCACACACCTGTTCGTCCCCCAATACCTGCACCCCATATCTGTTCCTCTCCCCACACACCTATTTCTTTATCCCACACACCTGTTCCTCTCCCCACACACCTGTTCGTCCCCCAACACCTGCACCCCATATCTGTTCCTCTCCTCACACACCTGTTGTTCTTCTCACACACCTGTTCCTCTCCCCACACACCTGTTCGTCCCCCAACACCTGTGCCCCATATCTGTTCCTCTACCCCACACAGCTGCTCCTTTCCCCCACACACACACCTGTTCCTCTCCCCCACACACCTGTGCCTCTCCTCACACACCTGTGCCCCCACACTTGTCCCTTCCTCCCACACCTGTGCCTCCCCCTCCACCTGCTCTCCCACACCTGCGCCCCACCTCATCAGACCACCACTGCCTGATCATTGGTTTCTCCTTATTCCAGTTCCTTCCTTCATTGGACAGATGTTTGTCCAGTCCCCCGACGAGCCAGGCTCGATTCTGGGACACTGTAAGCAAGACAATGGGCCCTGTTGGCGAGGAACTCACAGTCAGAGTTGGGTGGGGACACAAACCAGTGACCGATCAACTCGATCATTTTGGAGAGTGTAGACAAGCGGGTGAGGTGGGCCAGGGCAGGTGGACTCCGGGCGAGAGGCAGGCGGTGCCCTGGTTCAAGGCACCAAGCCTGGAGCCAGACGGGCGGCTTTGAGCCCCAGCCTTAGCAGCTGTGTGCCTCAGTTTCTTTATCTGTCAAATGGGGGTAATGACAGTGTTTGCCTCTTAGGTTGGTTATGAGGGTAAATAAGGTAATACATGTCAAACCCTTAAATTTAGTACATAGAACATAGTACGTGCCATTTTAGCAGTAATATTGCAATTTTGAGGCAAAAAGTAGCCATTTCAAGCGCTTTTGGACTGAGCTGATCACCTCTTGTTTGTGCGATGTGAAAGAATGGCGTCTCTTGGTATTGCTGCCTGCTTCAGTCCTTCACGAAGACCCCACCCTTGCTGGGCCCCTCCCCACAGGCCGTTTGCAGTCCTGTGTGCCATGCCACCCCGAGCCCCTTCCTCCCCTCACCACCTGAGCCGCTGGCTCTCCCCGCAGGGCTGCTGCCCTCTGCCCTCTACCCTCTGCCCCGCCCACGCCTCCTCTTCGTCTCACAAGTGACACAGCCTCCTGCGGGCTCTGGCTTGTGTCTGCTGCTCCGTCCGGTGCAGTGAGAGCTCGGACTTCGCTTCCTCGTCTCGGTCCCGTAGGCTCTGTCAGATCCATCCAGGCTGCTTCATAAGTCCTGTCTGATGGGTGACTGAACGCAGCCTGCCTCACGTCTCTCCTGCCCTTCGGGGCCTCTGCCCTGGGGCAAGGTCAGAGTAGGCTCTGGGGGCCGGCCTTGAGCCTCCCTGTCTTATTCCGCAGTCACGCAGCCCCGCCATCCAACTGGGCCTGACAGCCCCGGCGAGGCTGGGAGGCCCACGCCCTGAGCTGATGCCCCCCTGAGCTGGAATGAGGTTGAGAGGACTCACCCCTCTCCCAGGGTCCCCACACCCTGTCAACAGAGACATCCCGTCCAGGATGGAGGAAATGCCGCCTTTGTTCCTAGACTTTAAAAATAGACTCTGTCTCACTGGGTTGGGAGCGGATGGACTTGCCTGGAAACAGGTGAGGATGTTGGGCAGCTATGGTGTTTCCTGGCGTGACACAGCGACACTGCTGTGTCCCATCCCTTCCCGCCTTCCCTGTTGCCCTGCAGGCCGCCAGCTCCCTGGAGCCGAGAGGGCCTCGCCAGCTACTGCAGAGGAGACGGACATCGACGCCGTGGAGGTCCCCCTCCCGGGCAGCGACGGCCTTGACTTCAGCCGCGGGGTGACTGACCTGGATGCCGTGAGGAAGGATGGCTCCTCCCACACAGACTCCGAGGTAGGCAGAGGTGCCCGCTCACGGCAGGGTGACAGGGTCCCCGGCTCCTACATACCCAGTCCACCCTGAGACACAGCCAGCCGGTCTGTGTCACCCGCCCTCAGCGCCCGGTGGCTGGCGGCCAGCTCGTCAGGGGCAGAGCCTGTGCCATCTGGAGGGCCCTCTGTGCCCGTCCTCTGCCTGTTTTCCTGGCGCCCTTGCCCTGTGAGTGGAGTGGCCTCCGTCGGGTGCCCCTCGCCTGCCTGAGGGCCAGCAGCAGGGGTCGGGGGCAGCCGCTCCTGCAGCGACATCTCTGCTCTGGGCTGTCTTAGTGGAAGTGGCCACCTGCCAGGGGCGGCGGGAAGGGACAGGAAGTGCTTTCCACGGACAGGCAGGACCTCCCAGCCTTCGGCTGCATCGGGTGCCGACTTCCGTCCCTGCGAGCAGGCGGGGCTGCAGCAGCCTGGGGAGGGGGGGGGCATGCCCTCGATACCAGCAGGCCCTGGGGTTGAGCCCAAGGACGCAGCAGAGGAAAGGGGCACTGCCTCCATCCGTCCGTCCCACGCTGGGCGGTGGGAGCTGTGCTGCATAGAAATAGGTCCCCCCATGTCCGCAAGCTGAAGGAACTCAGCCACATGGCACGGTCAGAGGGGGGGCAGGTGAGGGGACATGTCATTTCTGGTCCCATCACTGCGGAGCCGGTGCTGAGTGTCCGAGCAGGACTTCCTGCCTGCAGCCCCGCCCGGCGCCGCACCAGCTGCCCGGGCCGTCCACTCTACCCAGGCCACGCTCCCGAGCCCTTGGTGATGGGTGAGACCCCGCAGGTGCCCCCGCATAGCACAGAGAGTGAGGCCCCATGAAGCCCTGCCCAGGTCACGCTCAGTCTCCTCTGCTCCTGCAGGTGCCGCCGCAGGAGCCCGTGCCCACAGCCTCGCCCCGGATGCCGCTGCCCCCGCCCTGTGCACAGGCCCCGGGCGCGGGCACGCCGCTGTCCTCGCAGCACCAGCTGCAGCTCCTGCACCAGCTCCTCCAGCAGCAGCAGCAGCAGACGCAAGTGGCCGTGGCCCAGGTCCTGCTCAGCCTCCTCCCCGCCGCCCGGCTCCGCACGCACAGGCTGGATGTGCCCCCCCACGAGGGCCCAGGGCAGGTTTAAAGTCAGAGCCTGTGGATCGCTCGGCCGGACCCATGCTTTTGGGGCTGGGGGCGGGCAGGGGGTAGGGCGCAGGGGCAGTGGTTTCTGCGTGTCCCGCTGAGCTGGGCTTGGCTGCT